TACTTCATTTTTACAACATAGTCTAAATTTTAAAATTTTGCTTAAAAATCAGTGAATGAATCACAACTTTCTGGCTTTTTACTTTAATTAATGATTCTTTTTTTCTCCTTCATTTTTCAGGAATTCTTACCCCAAGTGATGAGTTCCAGTTTTGGATAGAACAAGCTCATCGTGGAAATAAGCAAATTAATAGAGAAAGGGCCAGTTATTTTAAAGAATTATTTGAAACAATTGCAAGAGTATGTAATTTATATACATTGTTATTTATCAAGCTTATGAATGTACTTTACAATTCATTTTTTACTAAGTTTACCTCTTTTACAGTCATTTGATGTTTTCTGGCCAACTAAGTCCTTCATATATTGGAAGGTTTACTAAAGATATGTATGTTAATTGAGTAAAACTTAGAAATGAAAATCTCTGAAAAGAGTAAAATTTTAATCTTTAGTAGATATTTTCTAAAAATGTGTTCCCTTTTCAACAGACAGTTAGGGCAAAACAAAATTTATTATACTAATAAGGGTTTATCTATGAAGAGATAATAACTTCTGAAATATGTAAAATTTTAATTTCATATTTACGTGATTGATCATTCCTTGTATCCACATATTGTAAATAAATGGCCATTTTAAGTATGGTGAGAAAAAAAATCTATTCTTTGAAAACTCAAATTAAGTAATTTTCTCTAAGTCTCAATATTACTGTAGTAATATTGGTTTTAGACCTTTTAAAGCAGTGATAAAATATGGGATAATAAAACTTTTACTATGATAATATTGTTAGCATAACAAGCAAAATGTTTGACTCAAGCCATATACCAACTACAGTGAGTAGTGTGTATATGAATTTAAGGCACGTCAGTGTGGGGAATAAATGAGTGCAAGTTTAAAGTCAATGATGTGTAAATAAATGAATACTTTATACAATTCTTTTTCTTTTTACTTTCATAAAATATATATTTGAGAAAGAAATTGTGGGGTATATAAAGAGGTGTACATGTGGTCGAAAGAAAAGAAAATATGGCAGATGTTAGGATTGTGAGCAATTGGGAAAAAGCTGAGAACATTTTGACTGTATCATCTAACTAAGAAATCTGATCATGCTTAAAAATTAATACATTTCTGTTTTAGGAGTTTTATAACTTGGACAGCCTCTCCTTGCTGGAAGTTGTTGACTTGGTGGAGACCACTCGAGATGTTGTTGATGATGTGTGGAGACAAACAGATCACGACCATTATCCCGAGTCACGGATGCTACATCTCTTAGACATCATAGGTAGTAGTTAGTTGTGTTACAGGATTTTCTGGGTTTTTTTGTAAATGAAACCCAGGATTGATGAACCTATAGGGACAGCATGTAGAATAAGGGTTTGGGTGGGGAGTCGGGGATGGGGCTGGTACAGGGGTGCTGGGGTAAAAGGGAGACAATGTCAAGGAGTCCAGGAAAAGAAGTATTTTTGGAAACTGGAAGCAGTTGTACATTTGTGCTTGATGTGATTGAACTATGGAGTGATATGATCTATTTATTAACTCCAAATTTAATACTAAATAAATTAAAAAACAAAACATAGATCTAGGAATGGGTTTTGGGCTCGCACTAACTCCCAGCTCCAACTTGAGAAAAATTTTTACTTACCTCATGGCCCTGCTTGATACTCACCCTCTGGAAAGGAGCACAGAAAATAAGGGTGCTACAGCAAAATGTGGCAAAGAAATTAGATGGTGCCTAGCTATCAGATAAATAGCATTGTGGGTCTAAAAGGCTTGTTTCCAAACAAGCAGCCTTCTAAGGGAGATGCCAACTAAGTCCACATGAAGAAGCGCACTATCATCAGTCACCAAAGGATTGTAAACCATTTAATCCGAAGTTGAAGGAGATGTTGAATTATCAGAGCCTGCATTGTGAGAATCAGGTTTGCAGAAGGCTATGGATGACAGTGGAACCCAAGATTCATTTGTGGGAACTACAACTCTATACACAATTGAGGGGTGGGAGGAAAGTGGTTACTAAACAGAGTGCATTGGCGAGATGACTATAGAAGATAAAAGGCATAAATCTGACTTGACCAGTTAAAACGTTGTCAGTTGATTTCCCTCTCTGATGCATGCTGGACCAGATCTGGCTTTCAACATTAAAAAAAAAATGTATTGGTTTTTGTTTGTTCATATTAGGGTGTATCTCAGAGGTGTTATGTCATTGGAGGTCACCTTCATGAAGTTGTCATATATGTTTATGTGTTTCGGTATATGAAACCCCGGAGTGATGAACCTATAGGAACGTAATAAGGGTTTCGGGGGTGGGGGTGCTTGTTACAATGGTGATGGGGGTGTGGTAAAAGGGAGATAATAGCAAGGAGCCCAAGAAGAAAAATAATGTTTGGAAACTGGTAGCAACTGTACTAATTCTGCTTGATGTGATTGAACTGTGAAATGATATATGTATTACATCCAAATTAATAATAAATTGAAAACTTGTATAATTCTGGGAAGCTTGTCTTCCCACCCTCTCCATCTTTTAGTAGACTTTAATTTATCAAACAATTTTAGATTTACATAAGAGTTATTATGCAGAAACTATAGAGATCCTGTACATAACTCTTCCTAGTTTGTCATAGTTTATTTCCATTTTTCTTTTAAACACTTATGTAATATGTTCCTTACTGTAGTAATTGTGACTTGAAGTGACTTTTAAAGCAAATCAGATTATTTCAGTAGATATTTATAGTTACTAGATGAACTTAAACCATATGTGCCAGATTCTTTGACCATTATTACAACTAAATTAAGATACTTAGTTTCTTCCCTAATTCTTCTTTGTTCTTGGGTAAATGCTGCACTCTTGATCTCATGTGGGTGGTTTTTTAAAAGGTGTGTACTTCCCTAGTGTTACTCTTCCCCTTATACACCTATGTATGGTTTAACGAACAATTGAGTCATAGGGTTTAGTTAAATTCCAGACCTTAAAGGTGACTAAGGGCCATAGTCTTGGGGGTTCTATCAGTCTTTAGCTGACCAATAAGTCTAGACTTTGAATTTTGCTGCACATTTTCTCCTGCTTTATCCAAGAACTTTTAATAAGACCCCGTTCTTATTAGCAGTTTGCTTGTAATGTTAGCTGGGTATCAGCTCATTGCAGGTCTGAGTGTGGTGGAGTTGGTCTTTGAATGGGCCACTAGTTTACTGAACTAATTGTTTCTGTGTGCCTTCAATTTTCTTCACTGTTATTTTTTCTGGGCAGAGAGAAACCAATACTTGTACCTTAGAAAGAAAGCTGCTCACGAGCTTTTAAGAGCCCAATCACTGCTCTCCAAAGTATGATGTAGAATATTATTTTTGTAGACTAGGTTATGCCAAGTGACCCTGGTGCCTCCCAAGACCATGGTCCTGATCTTCAAAGGCGTACTTGATGTATTGAAAATTGCAAAAGTATAAACTGATGTTTGTGCTTAAAAATGATTTGTATATAAATAATACGGAAGGGTTATTGATTGGTAGTCTAAGGGTGTGCTTTGCATTTCAAGCATTTTTAGTTTCATAATTTGTACATGATTTAGTTTTGTCATAAACTTATCACTTCTTAAACTATTCTTTAGTAAGTTTATTTTTATTTATATCTCTATTTCATGTTGTTTTCAGGTGGCTCCTTTGGAAGGTTTGTTCAGAAAAAGTTGGGAACTATGAACCTCTGGGAAGATCCTTATTACCTCGTGAAAGAAAATCTGAGAGCTGGCATTTCAATTTGTGAGCAGTGGGTGATAGCGTGTAATCATCTGACAGGTCAAGTGTGGCAACGCTACGTTCCTCATCCATGGAAAAATGAAAAATACTTCCCTGAAACACTCGACAAACTTGGCAAACGCTTTGAAGAGGTACTCATTTGATGATCTAGGTCTTTGTGCTTAAGTGTGAAGTAAATTTCCTTTTTCTGTGGAACTTTTATAATTAACATGCATTACACATCTGA